TAACGGTGCCTCCCACTCCTAACTCACCAAGACGCCGCAGCATGATACCGTGGTCTACAGTATCAAAAGCCGCTGAGAGGTCCAAAAGAACAAGGACAGAGGAATAACCTCTGTCCCGGGCCCTCCAGAGATCATTAACCAACGCGACCAATGCCGTTTCCGTGCTGTGTCCCGGCCTGAAGCCCGACTGGTATGGGTCTAGATAGATATATTAAAAGTGGAAAAAAATCTGAAGTATTTATCTTGGTCTGATTTTTTTTAAGCATCTCAAAAGCCTGGCATTGTAACAGGTGTGTGTAGGCTTTCTATATTCACTGTACCTGTAATAAGGAAATTCCATCAAGGTCACAGGTAAGACCCAGCCTTCCTCATTCCCAACTATAATCTGCTAAAACATGGCTATCCAACCTTTTGGCTTGCCTAGGCTGCACTGAGTGAAGAGGCATATAAAATATATAATAATGTTAATGTTAAAAGTTTATGATCTTGTGGGGCCACATTACTACCTGACCAGGGCCACATGCAGCCTGTGAGCCACAGGTTAGACACACCTACTCTAAAGCCTACAATAAAGAAAATATTTTCTATCGGGTCTAGGACTATTAGGAGCTGACCCTTGGCCATGCCCACTTCTCTCCTGGCTCCCTGCCATAGCCAACCCACAGCAGCCTTTCATCCTCGGCTGGCCTTCTGCCAGTGCTCCTCTCCTGCCAATTCCCCCCCCCTTCCCGGCTCTTCATCCCAGCCAATTCCCTGAGGCACGTTTTTACCCGGGTGATTTGCTGCACAGGACAAGTAGCCAGTGGTGTAGCGTGGGTTGTCAGCACCCGGGGCAAGTAATTTGCGCCCCCCTCCACAGTGGGCGGCGTCGGCGACCCGGCGGCTCGGATCGGATTCGCACAGCCAGCACTGCAGAGAGAGTGAGTGAGCCAGGCAGGGGCAGAGAGCTGCGAGTGCGAGCGCGCCCCCCCAGATGTTGCGCCCGGTGCGGCCGGCCCCCCCTGCACCCCCCACGCTACGCCTCTGCAAGTAGCCACACCTCCCAGCAGCCAATTGCGCGGCGGGTGGTGGCTGTGGGTGGCAGTGATGTGGAGGCGCTGGGGGGGGGAGCAGGCAGTTGGTGATTGCAAAAGCACCAGAGAAAGCCGTGTGTGTGTGTACTTTTAATTTTTCTTTGCATCTTGATGGTGTTTCTCTCCTTGTCCAACCTGCCCCAAATTCTCAGTTTCCTCATTTGAAGGATGGCTGTGATGCAGGGACCAGGGTTTTAGGCTCTGGCACATTGATTGCTGCGGCAGGACAGGAAAAAGTTCTTCCCACTTGGAATAAAAAGTTGGGGGCGGGAAGGATCATGAAACACCTTGACTGTTATTTCAAGATGTCTTGGAGCAGGTCTTTTCAACCTTTTCACAGATTGTACCACTTTTAGGACATGACAATATTTGAGTACCACCAGTGCTTAGCAAGGTGTCAAAAACTTGATGACTAAAAAAAGGGGGGGGGGAGGATTTTGGGTTTTACTAATTAGATTCACTTGTTGTTATAGAAATGGCTAGTTTATAATGTTATGGAAAAGTAAAAAGTTGAGGTTCAATGTTAATGCTTCCTTCTACTGCAACAGAGGAAGTCTGTTTTTTTTCTCTTCTCCCCCTCACTTTTTCCCCTTTTTCCTCCCCACTGTGTCCTACTATTTGCTTTTGTATTTTTGTATTTTATTCTATAATCTAATAAAATATTACAAACTGTAGAAAAAAGAAAAAAAAAGTACCAGTTTTAATTTCCTCAGTGGCTATTCCTTTGCTGAATCACTTTCCCTTTGCACTGACAAATGTATGATGAATTTATCCATGTTTATTAATATGCGCCACTACCAGCTAGTTCAGGGGTCTTCAAACTTGGCACTTTTAAGACTTGTGGACTTCAACTCCCAGAATTCCTCAGCCCTCACGGCTGGTTGAGGAATTCTGGGAGTTGAAGTCCACAGGTCTTAAAGTTGCTAAGTTTGTAGACTCCTGAGCTAGCTGGTCATCCCTTCTTCTCTCCCTTCTGAGCTCTTCCAGAGTGTAGTAAGAATGCACCCCCCTAAATCCCTTCCCTGTACCCTTAAAGACACAGGAATCAAGTGCAAAGCAAGAAAGGATCACAAAATAAGCCTCCTTTCTTTTCTCTTTAAGCTGCCTCAGGAGTGTCATGTGTCACAATGTTGCAATCCTAGACTGAAAGGTTCTGGCAATTGCAAAAAGTTTTAGCTTTAAATTAAGCCTCTTTACTTTCAAAGAAAACTTTCTAAAAGCCATAGACAGACTCAATTAAAGGGGGTAAAACTAATTTCATTTGTTTAAAGGGATTAAACCTTTCCTGTTGTCTTTTTTCCCTTTCCCCCACCCAAACCACCTCCTTTTATAGCCTCTCCTCTCCTCCCCTTTTTCTTCAGTTCACCTCCAGTCCGAGCTGCTTCCGGAAGCGCCAATCAGCTGGAGCCCTGCTGGCTCCTGCGGCTTCTGCTGAGCCCAGACAGTCATGCAGCTGCAGCTGCCTCTCCCTCAGGCTTGGCTCGCTTGGGCTCATTCCCCTCCCCTGCTACACTTGGCTAGCAGTCGCGTACCACCTGCCACGTGGCAAAGTACCACAGGTGGTACGCGTACCACCGGTTGAAAAGCCCTGTCTTGGAGAACAGAATCTTAGACTCCCTTCTTTCTTCCTTCTTTCTTTTCCTTCCTGTGTCTCTCCCTCCCTGCCGCTCTTCCTTTCTTTCTTCCTCTCTTTTCCTTCCTTCTAACTTCCTTTTCTTTCCTTCCTCTCTCTTTCTCCCTTCCTTCCTTGGAAAACAGGAAAAGGGAGGGAGGGAGGGTGAGAGGGAAGGAAGGAAGGAAAAGAGAGAGGAGGGAGGGAGCGAGGGGGGAGAGAAACAGAGGAAGGAAGGAAGGAAAAGAGAAGGAAGAAGAAGAGAGTCTAAGATTCTGCTCTCAAAGACATCTTGAAATAACAGTCAAGGCGTTTTATGATCCTCCCCTCCTTCCCGCCCCCAACCTTTTATCCCAAGTGGGAAGATCTTTTTCCTGTCCTGCTGCAGCGATCAATGTGCGAGAGCCTAAAACCCTGGTCCCTGCATCACAGCCATCCTTCAATTGAGAAAACTGAGAATTTGGGATGGCTTGGAGGAGGAGAGGCAAAGAAAAATTAAAAGTGCACCCCCATCCCAGCTTTCTCCACAGCTTCCGCAGCCGATATCGCCTGCCGCCCAGCCACCCACCGTGTCCCCCAGCCACCCGCCACCCCCTCAGCTCTCTGCATCGCTGCTGCCTGCAGCTGCCTGCCATCCAATTGGCTGCCAGGAGGCACGACTACTTGTCCCATGTAGCAAATCGCCTGGGTAAAAACATGTCTCGGGGAATTGGCCAGTATGAAGGGCTGGGGGTGGAGGGCCAGGGGAGGTGTCATTGGTGGGAGAGGAGTGCCGGTGGAAGGCCAGCAGAGGATGAAAGTCCACTGTGGGTCAGCTGTGGCGGGGGGCCGGGAGAGAAGTGGGTGCGGCCAAGGGTCGGTGCCTAAGTCTCATTCCATTTTCTATCAAGCTGCGAGACTTTATGAAATTTCACTCCCAATGGAAGTGTGGCCTCCATAACGGAAAAACAAAATTTTGTAAGGCCAGCAGTGTAAGGAACATACTAGCTCCATTTCATTTTCCTGGGAAGTCCTTGACCCCGCCAAATTTGACTGGAGACCTATTCTGTAACTTATTTAGCAGAATGCTTAACCTGATCTTAAGAGAGTTGCTTTGTTTCTAGACCACTGAGGGAGCATTGGTGGTCTTGTAGGTATTATTTAGTTGCTTAACTGGCATCCTTTATTACTGAGCATGCTAGCAGCTGAAAAATATAGATCAGCAACATCATGGGGCCCAGAGGTTCTTCCACACGTGTCCCTATTTATCAGAGGTTCTCTGTAGTCTGCAAACCACTGGTGGTCTACAAGCTTCATTCAGATGGTCGGTGCAATGAAAAAAAAACCAAGATTCTAATGCTTGTGTTGTTAGTGTTGTGGAGCAAAAAAGGTTAATCAAGTAGTTCCCCAGTAATTTTCAAGCAGTCTACAGAGGAAAGATTTGAACAATGAGACATTACACCATTCAATTGGTTTAGATGAACAGGAAGATAGATCATGGAAGTTTAAGGTGCTAACTAAACCTGTGGATATACCTTGGTGTAAGAATTTCTTTGTATTGAAGTTTTTCTACCCTGGTCGTTGCAGCAACAGACATTGGTATGACAATGTTGTTAATGTCAAAAGAGCTTTCCCCTCTTCTCCTCCTTGGCTGCTGCTGCAAAACAATGCAGAAAACAACAGTGAAAATCAGACAGTGATATGAAGAGGGAAAAATTTCAAAACTAACTTATAGCACCAAGAAAGAAAGGACAAATGTTCTTGTCTTTTAATCTAGTGATTTAACAGGAAAGTGGCTGCTGCAAGAGCTCAACCTTTGACATCATGGGACTTCTTGTCATCTTCTCACCCCTCCTGTTGGAGGAATAGTAAAGATAGTGAAGAGAAGAGAGAATGAGGGTACCTATTTTTTTGTATATTGATTACATTCATGTCCTGCAGAAAATTTAGGCCAATGTCTTTGGATAGTTCATTCTCAGCCAAGATCTTAAGTACAGGCATGTAAATATGGGTTTGCAAATACAATTGGAGGGGATTTATATAAGTTCTAATTTGTTTAAATATTCTGAGGAATCAAATACTAATGGAAAATTTAGAACTTCTGATGTAAATTCCAAGTTAAGCAACCTTGTAAAAACTAAAGCAAAGCTACTCTTCTGGGCTGCAAAAGTCACAGCCATGAAACAACCAAGGGCTAGAATATAAAGTCAACATACACTGAATTACTTGTTTATGCAAAGAAGGTAACAATCCTAGGATAATTTCTGAATACTGATTAGATGAAGTTGGTTTTTCCATTTAGGATGATTGGAAGAAAAATCCTTGGGTATCTGAAGAAGCATGCAGCTTGAGGAAAAGGAGTAAATTAAGCATCTCTAGGCCATTCTAGAGAATCTGAATGGACAATGCCTTATATATACAGCTTTACATAGGTACAGTGAGGGGAAAAAATATTTGATCCCCTGCTGATTTTGTACGTTTGCCCACTGACAAAGAAATGATCAGTCTATCTTCAAGTTGCCACCATTGGGAAACACTGTCTTAAGGAGATTCTCAGACTCTGCTCTGTTGATATAGAAATTTATACATTTACTTCATTTTTATTGTACCGTTCACCTAAATTTCATACTCAAGATATCTTTATTACTGCTCTAAATGCTTGGCGCAGAATATACTTAGGTCTTTTTTTTAGTATCAACAAGCTTAGAAGAAAGGGTTACTAACAGGCATTTATGAAAAAAATAGCCTATTATGGGAAAATTTGAAACCAACCTTATTATATTTCAAACTTTTAAAATAGTATCCAACTTGGGAAACCTTAAAGTAGAGCAAATCAGACATGAAAATATACCATAAAATACTACCAATAAACATTTACAAAGACTGTATGATTTACTATTGTCTCAGTGCCCTCCCCCCCCAATGAATAAAGAGGATAAAAACCAAGCACATGCATCTACTGCTGTTAAAAGTGCACTTTAATCACAAGACAAGCAATTAGGAGCACTGCTACATAGAATTTTAATAGCCTCACTTCAACTGTTAATGTAGGAAAACAGGATTGTTATGCACACACAAATCTTGGCACTGAGTGGCCACGCAAAAGTCCCTTGGCCTGCACCAATGGACCTACTATTATGTAGGTACCTGAGAGGTCCAACGAAGTATGAACTAATAGGAGCTACTCAGGGCAGAGGTGCAAATTTTTTGACTCATACAAAGGTACTGATATGGAGACCAAAGTTAAAAGTGTGTGAGATTCCATTTGCCTCTGTCTCAATTAGTGACATTGAAGTTATTCATACACATATTTAGATATTTATACCCTAGACCAGACATGTCAAACTCGTGACATCACGTGATGTCATGTGACGTATCGGAGCTTTTTCTACATTGCCGGCAATGGGGTGGGCGCGGTTTCCTGGTGACGCATCCAGCCCGCGGTTTGGCAGTTTGACACCCCTGCTCTAGACCAGCTTTTTCTAAATTGTTTCTTCTAGAAGTGTTGGGTCTGTAGCAGAGGTGGCCAGTAATGTTGAACATCTTGTCCCTATACTATTCATCATTCTGGATGGGATTGCATTCTTAGTAAAAGAGTAGGATCACCATTTGGAAGAGCTCCTTGACACCTTCAACTATCTCTGGATTTTCAGGTGGCATGAGTGGTAAGGAGTATGGACATGAAATCACATCTAATGCACAAGAGACTGTCTCTGAGCTGGCTAAATCTAGCAACAATTATCTACTTCATGGTTATACTACAATGTCTTCTATGTAGTTTTACTCTTGAGGAGTGTCTGGAGGCTATAACTGGTACAAACTGCAACAGCTAGATTGCTAACTGATACACAATATCAAAAGCATATTATGCCTGTTTTGGAGAACTGACTGCACTGTCACTATAATAATAATAATAATAATAATAATAATAATAATAATAATAATAATAATAATAATAATAATAATAATAATAATAATAATAATAATAATAATAATAATAAAGTTGGAAGGGACCTTGGAGGTCATCGAGTCCAACCCCCTGCTCAGGCAGGAAACCCTTTACCATTTTGGACAAATGGCTGTCCAGTCTCTTCTTAAAAACTTCCAGTGTTGGAGCATTCACCGCTTCTGGAGGCAGGTTGTTCCATTGGTTAATTGTTCTAACTGTCAGGAAGTTTACCATGCCCAATTTAAGGTATCGGTTTTAATCTTTAAAGCCCTAAATGTCTTAGGACCTCACTATCAAATGGACCGCTTGCTTAAATCATAAGGTCAGTAAAAGAGGTTCTTTTAGAGATACCTTCACTTTCTGAGGTCTGTCTGCTAGATACATGAGAGATGGCTTTGTTCCCAAACTATGGAGTATGCTCCCTCAGGAACCACACCCAGTTCCCACTCTTTCCGCTTTCAGGAAAGGGATCAAAACCACCTCCTTAATTCAGTCCTTTTCTAATTGTGTTAGCTTGATAGTTGTTTTAACAATTTTTAGTAAGATTTCTTTACAAAACAATTATTGTTACAAAACAATTGATTGTTCTATGTGCAAAAATATACAAAAATAAATAACTGAAATTCCACCCTAACTAACAAACATAGCTACTGGTACAGTATGATTGATGGGAGATGCAGACCAAAATAATTTGGAGAACCCAACCTGGTCCACAACTTCAAACATCTTCCAACCACAGCATTCCAATATATTTTGAATGTGCCAGATACATACAAGTTTTTATTGAGTACTTAAAGCTTTCTTCTTTCTTTCTGCTCTCATATGCCCAAAAGAAAAAATATTCAACTAGATTAACTTATCTTCCTGTTACTTCCAATTGTAGGAGCCTTCCTCATGAATGGAACTGGTTAACTGATTATGTGCCATTATGACCATGTCAATTCTTTATACTGATCAGCATTTTCCAGGATTAATAAAATGAATTAGCAATTGCAAATTCAAACAGTTTATTTATTAAACTTACATGCTGCCCATCTTGCCTAGAGGCAACTCTAGGCAGCTTACAATCATAAAAACAAGATAAAACATTAAAACAATAAATATTAACACTAAAATTGATTTAAAATTGACAAGATGGGAAGGGAGCAAGATGAACATGGGGAGGAGGTGGGGTCTTAGTCCATTAACCACATCCAGAATGACATGCCCCCATTGGGGCCCCAGGCCATTAGGCAGAGCCAGATCTTCAGGCCCTTTTGGAAGGCCAAAAGGGTGGGGGCGGATCTCACCTGGGGGGGGCACAATGTTCCAGACAACGGGAGCCATGAAAGAAAAGGCTCTTCTCCTGCACCCCACCAGACAGAATTCCTTGACTAACGGGGTCTGTAGCATGTCCCTTCTTCCAGCGTGGGTGGGGCAGGCCAATCCCACTGGGGTGAGATGGTTTCTCAGATAACCTGGACCCATGCCATGAAGGGCTTTAAAGGTAAGAACCAACACCTTAAATTCTACCCAAAAGCAAACTGGCAACCAGTACAATTCGCAGAACAGCAGTGTAACATGGGGCAGTCTAGGGCAGGGCTTTTCAACCGGTGGTACAGTACCACTTGTGGTACATTAACGAGTGGCAGGTGGTATGCAGCCCTGCCTAGCCAAGTGTAGTGGGGGAGGGAAAGAGCCAGCACAGGCAAGGACTTACTGGCCATGAGCCGATCTACAACTGCTGTGGCAGCCACCTGTGCTGGCAGCAGCAAACAGGCAAGAAATGCAGTGGGGGAGGGGTTGCCCTCCAAGAGGAATGAAAAAAGGTAGCAATGGCTGGAGGTGAGGCACGGAGGAGGGAGGGAGATGGAGAGTGGAAGGATTCTTATGTGCTTTTGTGACTTTGAAGTTCTGGGATTTGTGCAATGAGGGCTTTGTGTTCTTAAGGAGTGTTTGGCAATTTCTATTTGGCTGATGGCTGATGTCTCCTGTTAGCTTCTATTGCTCTGCTATTGTTAGCTGTAAGTTTTGCTACAAGGGATTTTGAAGTATTTTTTTCCTGAATGGATTTTGCCTGTAACATTCCTTTACTTATGAATGGAGCCATTTGGGGAGGCTGCCTTACCCGGCAGCCAATACTTACTACATTTTTTTTCTTCCTTAAGTGCTAGCTCTGCTCCTTAACTTTCCTTTCTAGCCAGTAGCTAATTCTTAAAGGGGAATGTGCCTTTTTAAGTTAGTTCACTTAGCAGCTTGTCTTTTCTGTCTCTGGAGGCTTTTCCTTGTTTGATGAATATATGGAAGAGGGAAAATATGGGGGGGGGGGGTTTCAAAATCTTCCTTCAGAAGGAGGTGGGCATGAGAAAGTCCCGCCTTAGCACTCGGCCACCAGCAGCCCTGCCATTGACTTTGCTTGTCAAAAGATTGCAAAAGGGGATCACATGACCCTGAGACCCTGTGACCATCATAAATATAAATCAGTTGCCAAGCATCCAAATATAAATCACATGACCCTGGGCATGCTGCAATGGTCATAAGTGTGAAAAATGGTCATTAGTCATGTCAGTGCAATTGCAACTTTGAGCAGGTTTTTTTTTTGGTCATCAAGTTTTTGACACCTTGCTAGGTGGTACTCGAATATTGCCATATCCTAAAAGTGGTACAATCGGTGAAGAGGTTGAAAAGCCTTGGTCTAGGGGTCCCAAGAACTGTCTGTGTGGCTGCATTCTGCACCAGCTGTAGCTCCTGAATACTCTTCAAGGGTAACCACATATAGAGCATGTTACAATAGTCCAAGCATGAGATGACCAGGGCTTGAGTGACAGTGCAGGGATTCCTGGTCCAGGAGAGGACACCACTGGCGCACAACATGAAGTTGCGCAAAGGCTCTCCTAGCCATGACTGCCACCTTCTCTTCAAGCAGAAGTTGCAAGTCCAGGAGTCTGTCTGAGGTAGTGCAACCCCACCCAGAACTAAAGATGTTTAAAGTCCTGGATCCCAAAGTTCCATGCACCCAAAGCCATTTGGTCTTACCAGGGTTTAGCCAAAGCCTGTTGTCTTCCCATGGCCTCCAGGCAATGCAAGAGTGCAGCGACAGCATCACTTGGATCACCATGATGTAGATGTAAAGTTGAGTATCATCAGTGTACTGATGGTACCTCATCCCATTGTGGCGGATGGTGTCACCCAGCGGCTTCATGTAGATGTTAAAAAGGAGTGGAGAGAGTACCGAGTTCTGGGGCATGCCACAAAGGAGTGGCTGCGGGCTGGACCTCTCACTCCCTATCAACACTGATTGGGATTGCCCTTGAAGAAAGGAGCTAAACCAGAGCAAAACGGCACCGCCCAGCCCCAAACCCCACAGGTGGCCCAAAAGTATACCATGGTCAATGGTAGTGAAGGCCACCGAGAGGTCAAAGAGAGCAAGGATGGATGCATTATCCTTATCTCGCTCTCTCCAGAGATCATGAACAAGTGCAACCAATGCTGTTTCTGTCCCATAACTGGGCCTGAAACATGACTGGAAAGGGTCCAGATAATCAGTTTCATTCAGGTCCTTCTGAAGCTGCCATACAACCATTTTTTCTACCATCTTCCCTAAAAAAAGGGGAGGTGAGAGACTGGACAAAAATTGTCCAGACAACTGGGATCAAGCGATGGTTTTTTTGAGGAAGGGGCAGACCAGGGTGTCCTTGAAAGGTCCCAGAAATGTCCCCTCCTGCAAGTGAAGAATTTATCCCTGACTGAACCCACCTGGAGGACATTGTTCTGGAGGCTTTCACCAGCCAGGAGGGACAGGGATCTAACTGACAGGTGGTTGTGCTGATAGCATCCAGGACCTATCCACTTCATCAGGTCCAACAGGATTGAAGTGTTCCCAGATAACCAGGTAAGACCTTTCCCCAGGCATCACTAATGGACTTGCACCATGCATGGATTCCTACTGGGAATGGATCCAAGAGACTCTGTCTATCAGGTATTCCACAAATTCCTCTGCACAGCCCTGAAGATGATCACCCAAGCCCTCCTGTCCCGGGGGGACCAGGTGATTGTGAACAGGGCTGCCAGGTGACACTCTGTAGGAGCAATAAGAGCAGAGTGTTGTGGCTCCGTCCGGTGGGTCCCTCTCATCAGAGGAGGAAGGCTCTGAACATGAAGGAGAGGAGATGGCTAGGCCTCCCTCTCCAGGCCCTTCCCCTCTGGTGCAGCCTTCGGTGCCTTCCGACAGCGAGGAGTTTGGCCAGGAGCCCGGTGTTTCTGGGATTGGCCAGGAGCCCGGTGTTTCTGGGATTGGCCNCCAGGAGCCAGGTGTATCGGACTCCGACGAGGATACGTCTTGGCTGGATCCACGCCAGCGTCGGAAGGACAAGCGTGCGCAGCAGCGGACACGTCATGCCAGATAGTTCAGCTGAGTCACTGGGCCACACCCCACTGGCTATATAAGCAAGGGGTGTGGCATGTGAATTTTCGTGACGGACAATTTTTGCTGGATATTCGGTTGCAAGCACTCTGGCAAGTTATCTCTGTTTGCTGTGTCTTATCAGTAAAGGCTTGGCAGGCAGCTACGCAGTTGCTGCCAAGAAATTCATTTGTCTTTGTCTGTGCCGAGTAGTTTTTCAGGCCTCGGCTGACTGGTTGGGGGGTGTGGGTCGGACGGGGGACAGAACACAGAGAAATAAAGCTGTTTCATCACTCTTACCATCACAAGACAGGCCTTAATAGCAACTCTAACTTGTGTCTGGTCAGATTCATCCTTCATTTTCCTCCAGCAGCGCTCTAGGTGTCTCTTGGCTCTTTTCAGAGCCCACAGCTCCTCCATGTTGGGAGTGATGGGTCAAGAGAAGCCACACACGTGTTCCTGTCCAAAGTCTTGGCTGCTCTGTGGTTCCAGGATGTAATCAGAGCTTTGGTAGGACTGTGCAGGAAAGACCCTGGGATATTCCCCAGTACCCTCTGGAACCAATACAGTTCCATCAGTTGCTGAGGGCAGACCACTTGAATGGATACGGTGTCCCTGCAGAGGGGGGTGGCATAAAAGAATCTCAAGGACACCAGGGCATTATCTGACCATGACAGGGAAGATAATGACAGATCCCCCACCAGATCACGTTGCCATTGCTCCAACAAGAAAATCATATCTGGCATGTGACCACTGTCCCAAGTCGTGCCTTGGATGATATGGATAGGCCCATGGTCACCATAGTAGCCATGAACTCCTGGGCCGCTTCCAAGGCCAAACCCAAGGATGGCAGATTGAAGTCCCCCAGGACCGTAATCCTGAGGAACTCCATTGCCAACCCTGACATGGCCTCCAACAGCTCAGGCAGGGAGGTTGCTACACAGCAGGGAGGCTGGTACAGTAGCAACAATCCCAACTGATCCTGTGAACCCAGTGTCAAGCCCTCCCGGGCTCGACATACAAGAGGGGGGGAAGGTGAAGGACAGCACGGTGGAGGAAGAGGAAAGCCAGCACCGGGTCCAAGGCAGCTCACCGTCTCGATGAGGGAGCGCGAGCCGCGATACTCCAGCAGGGCGTTCGGGCCGGCAAACAGCTGACGGGCGGTTACCGGAAGGCATGGGAAGCCACGCCCGCGCAGAAGGAGTTTGAGCCGCCGAACAGCTGACGGGCGGTGAACCGGAGAGTGCGATGTCGGGGCGGGCCGTCCCAGAAGAACCAACATTCATGCGGACAAACCCGAGGGAGGGGGTTAAGCTGGATCAGCTGCTACATTTAATTACGGCCGGGTGCTGGTTGGGTGATAGGAGGGTGGGGTTGTGGGATGATAGATGGGTGGGGTTGTGGTTTGTTGGGCAGGGGTGCGGTTGCTAGCTAATTGGGTGGAGGGTGGGGTAGCATTAACACAAGTGTATTTAAACAGTGCTAGGAGGAGGCTGCTCCCAGCGCGAACTTTGTATAGCAAAGAGCCTTGATGCTGTAGGTCTCTGCTGATGCCAACATTTGCCTTAAAGAAAACCGCTGCTGCCTGAGTCGAGTTGTCTTTGTGTCCTTCTTTACTCAAGGTCCCGGTAGGAGTGTTGACACCCAGCTTCAGAAATAGGGACTCACGCCCAGAGACTTGGGGAGCATGGACCCTGAAGGCCAGAATAGATTCTCAGATGACCACTGCCATTCCAGCTCCCCTTATGAAATATCATTTCCCTATTCAACTCAAATTTGGCCAAGAAAGTATGATTACTTCTTAGAAGAACATCTAGTGTTTTCTACATGAGTTCAAGGAAAGATACTCCATATCTCTTTCTCTAATTTATCCTTGTAATAACCGCCCTATATAGGAAGTTAATGTGGCAGTTGCAGTTTCACAGCTTAATGTGGATTTCAATCCGTGGTGTTAGTCCAACACCCTAGCCACTATCCTGCACTAGCTAAAATGATACTTCAGCTGGTTCTGATAAACACTGTGTCCAATCAAGGAAGACTCCAGGTAAGCACTAGAATGCTATCTTGAACTTCTTCTAGTCTCAGCACACAGTGCATATGGTTATGGCCCTGTTCCAATCTAATACTCCAATCATCCTATTTACAGACTATTCCATATACAGGACAGGAAGTTCTGGGAAGTCGTGCCTGGATTAGAATATGCAGGTTTTTTTCTGAGTCCAAAACATGCACATTCCAGGCAGAGATGTTCTGCAGTGGGGAAAGGGGGAAAATCAGAGATGGTAACAAGAGGCAGCAGCTAAAAGTACACAGGAGGAGACTGGGGAGGGATAGAAAGGCTGTTGGTTATGCATAGGGGGAACAGTGGTGTGCAGCCAAGGAAAGGTAAGGAGAAAGAGGGCATAGGTAGGTTGGGGAGGGCTGGGTGGACAGATAGGTAGGCTAAGCTTGAAAGAGTGGTGGTATACAGCTAAGGCAGATGAAGCCATGGGAAGACTGAGAGACGGAAGAGAGAGCAGGCTATGTGGAGGGGAGAAGTACACCAACTTTACCCCACTTCCTTTGTAAGATCCCTTCCAATTTGTCTGGGTCAAAACACAAAACAACCAAGAAGTTTTAGTTCAGCTGGAGTGCAATCCTGCCCAAAATGGTCCTATCCAAGGTGCAAGCCATAAAGGCCTCCTTCCATACATGGAACTGAAGATACATTTCATTTCTTAACTGCCACCTCTCACCCCCACCTCTTCTGCTAGCATCCTTCACTAGGATTCATGACTTCCTTGTTTCCAAACCCGGAATATATTGTTCCCCAACTTCTGAAGCTTGAATTTTTTAACCTTTTCCTCCTATGTTGCAATCTGGGACACTGTATCTAAAGCCAATTGCTCCTTTTCCATTTTACCTAATTCCATTTAACCCTAACCCTTGCATCCCATATCCTATAACTGAAAAAAAATCAGCAACAGAAGTAATACATATACTCATTCCTCCTTGCCCTAATTTTTCTTCTAAGTCAAGATTAGCTGTCAAGCACCTTGAGACATAGAATGGCAAGGTCATGCAGCGCACTGCATCTTGAAGGCACTGAAGAAATCAAACTTGAACTTAGCTGCAACTGCCAGGTAACCCCCCTACCCCCACCCAGGTACTTACAGCTGCAATGGAGCTTCCCAGGGAGTATGTGGTGACAGGAGGGATGGAATTTTCAGAGGAAGCAGAGAGCTGTCGCATGAGTGGACTATGAGCTGTGGAGGCCATAGAGCTTGACAAATAACTTGGGCCTCCAATCTCTGGATGATGCTTCAACACTGTGCAAGGAAAGAGAACAGTGAGTGAAAACAATGCCTGTATTATACCCAGAAGCATTACACCAGACAGACATCAAGTAATCAACATAGAAGAACTAGAGCACACTTAAGTGAGGGAAACTTCCTCAGGCTGGACTGCTTCTCTAGAGGAAGGAAGTTGTTAAAGCACACAAGAGAGACTATGGCAGGTGACACCACTACCCCTTTAATTTCCCAGAAGCAGAAAGCAACCATCTCCAAAGGGAGAGGGGGAACAGAATGCAGAACCCAAGCTCTGCCCAGACAGACCTGGCTAGGGCCAGCCTACCTTCACTTCTCTTGGAGCTGTCCTGCAATCGCTTTCTTTCATGAACTGCCGTCAGGATAAGTGAGCGCTCTGGCGCTCTCTCGACCTTGGGGGCAGCCCTCACATCGTTTAAGGGCTGCCTGTGTGCCTTGTCTGGCTCGATTTTGTGATGTGAGCAAGCTGAGGAGTGGAACAGAAAGAGAGCCATGAAAACACCCTGCTTTCACCTCTCTTTCCTGCCTTTCAGGACCCAACCTAGACAAGATCCTAGAAGCCATACAAGCATGACTGCCAGAACAACACAAAGAGCCACTGGCAGCAACTGCCCTCCAGTGACAACCCCATTAATTCAGCAGTTGCTGTAAAAATCAATTCATTCATCCATCCATCTTGTTTGCAAGGCCTGAACCTTTGAGCTGCACCCAGCCCTGCCATGGCTTCTAACAGGCTGGCTTCCATTGTGGCCCACATGTTTGGAACACTGTGTCAGATATATTCTCTAAAGAGACCCAACATGCAATTATAGATGGTGCTACTTGACCACTACAGAACAATCTCAAAAACCAGGAGCAGCAGGATCTGTGTCTTGCTTTATTTTAAGTAATAAACCTACCTTTACAGTTTATCAATTATATACAATGTTCCTGACCCTCAAAGCAGATCATCCACTCAAAAAATAGGAATAGGCATATGTGTGCGCACAGACATATTTTTTCTCGTGCTCATTTAGGGACACACAGCCAATGTTTACTTGTTTTCAGCTCTGGAACAACGATCATGAAACATTCAGAAGAGTGATTGCACTCTAGATATACTCAACATGGTTTTCCCATATCACTAGGCAACAATAAATATTCCACTCCTTCATGCTCCAACACAACTTCTAGATTCCTTGAAAAGTTTTTCCTGGTCAAACAGTCTAGGACACGGGTGTCCAACTTTTTGGTTTGCCTGGGGCCATAATGAGTGAAGAGGAATTGTCTTGGGCCACATATAAAATATATAATATAGTTTTATAATATAAAATCATATAATGTTAAAAGTTTACGATCTTGTGGGGCTGCATTACATGTAGTCCTTGAGAAACAACAGGCCATGTAATGACAATTCAAAGTTATGACTGACACCCCAAAAGTATATGCAACCCTATTTCAAAGTTATGACAGCTGAAGTGCCACTGCGGTCATTCACTCTTATGACCAACCACAGGGATGTTGCAGCACCCCTGTCATGGCCCTGTTGGATCCCGGTTCAGAGGAGGAGTTGTAATTTGGACCATCCAATGGGGATGGCACATCTCCCCTGGAATGTCTGGAGAGTCCAGGGTCTGAGGACAATGCTGTCTCAGGCCCCTCCGGCATTGGGGGAGGTGGTCAACTGGACAGGGAGCTGCCTGCCTTCACAAACGCAGGGGAGGATTGGCTGCAGACAGGCAGTGGTGATGAGAGACAGCAGATCCACTCTGACGAGGAACAGCTGCCTCCCCTGCAGGGCACAGAGAGTGGAGCAGAAGGAAGGTCAGAGGAGGTCTGCGAGGCTGCTCGCGAGGAGGCTGCCCCGCCCCTCCTCACAAGGAACACCTAATGTGGGCTGATTTAACCAGAGGCAGGGTGGTGGTGGAGTGGGGTTTTGCCAACACCCCTGGAGAGCCGTCTGTTGTGGTTTAGCAGTGCAATGAAATACTTTATTGGTGCCTGCATCTGCCTACATGACCTGTGTCAAAACAACCCCTGCCTCTCTCTTCCCCCTTTATCCTGCCCCAACAGGACCCTGCAACGCTTGGACCCACTCCCCATGCCTCCTGGAAGCAGCTGCCATTTTCAGGGCCCCAACAATTCTTTGCAGAAATGGTGGCTACTTTCAGGGCTTTCTGCACCGATCAGGTGGCCATTGGGAGGCTGCAAAGCTCTTCTGCTTCTGTATAAAAGGCAGCAGATTCAGGATGAGCTTCCCAAAACCTTTCCTTTGCTTAATCCCCTCCCTCCCCCAGAAAGCCACATTTCTTCAATAAAAAAAAAAAAAGCTGGGAGGAACAGACGTGTTAATCTCCCCTCTTTTACTACTAAAACAGGACATACTGCCAGAAATTATACCTCCAAAGGCAGAAAGTGGTGCTGGGTCTCCAGGCTGTCTATAACCCTGGAGGCCCTGCCTAAATTCAGAGTCTATGTACTGTTATTATGGGAGGGCCAAGTACTCAGTGTATTCTCAGAAGCAGTCTTTTATTATTTATTATTTCCTTTTTCAGGCTGGGCATTGGCATTAATCACATTTCAAAATGAAATCCTGGTTCACTTTAATGTCTCTGCAGGACATTGTAATTTCTGCCAATTCTGCCAATTCGAGATTAAAACCAATGAAGGCACTTACTGGCTGCTGCTAAAAAGGTATTAACCAGCTTGTGACGGTGTTTGCATGCTGAGTCAGAGAGACTGCTGGGAGGCACAGTGGGTCGATGCTTCAATGTGAGCTTTTTGGGAGGTTTAATTTTCTCACAGGGCTTGTTCTGCAACTGGGATTTCAACATGCTCTGAAGGTGTAAGCTCACTGGTACATCTGCAGAAAAATGAACACACACATACACGAACAAAAAAAACCCCAAAGGAGGCAATTATCAGACATCGTTCAGAATAACGATGGCATATTCTGAATGAATGTTCCTCATCAAATCTATCTAACCACAAATTTGGAGATTTATACCTACCATGGACCAAAAATATATCCATTCAGAAGCAAAAAATAAGCCATATTTATGGAGTCCTCCACTTTCTCCCAGTAATGAAAACACCAATATTGGCTGAACTGCAGCTATCCTAACCCTGTACTCTCCAGATTTTTTGACTCAACTGGAATTCTGAGCTAACACAGCTTTCAGCAACAACACAGCTAGGTGGCATGTTTTTTTTTGTTTTGGACGGGGATCAAAAGAAAAGCCATCAGATGATTATTGCATTGATTATGATGCTGTTATATATTTTATAATATTTTGATCTTGCATTATTAGTATATTTTTTGTTCTTTTTATTTGCAATCTGCTTTAAGGTCATAGGGATTGAAAGGGTAGAAAGCAAATAGAGAAAGGAAAAATAGTCCCTCTCTTTGAGCATGCTTCACCTCCAGTGAGGACACAAGAGTTTTGTGTGTAAAGTCCCAACAATAGCAAGAGCAATTACTGCCACCCTACAACTGAAATACAAACAGCTTTCCCTGGAGAAAATTCAAAAGACCTAGGTTGCATTTTACTTGAGTGAATTAAAATGTCTTGTTAAAATCCAAAATAAGTTTCTTAAAATGTCACTATCAAGTGCTCCTTAAATTATAACTAGGATATTACTAAATAATATGAATGACAGCATGTTTGTCCTACAGTAAAATTTTGAAGGTGAATTGGTGTCTCTATAGAAACACTGAGTTAAAGGAAGGTTTTCCACATAAATGAAAAGTCAATTTGATCACTTCTCAAATACATCTTTGATTCATTATCTATCCAAAACAACTGCTTTATTTTCACCCAATGAACACACACAGCCCTAGACTATCCAGTAGCAACTAGAACATACTTCCAATTACTTTGTCATTGGCAGTTCACTTTTTTGTTTGGTAGTTTTCTGTATGTGCGTGAAATGGAGGAACTGTGAAGAGAGAAAAAAATCACGAACATCACACATGACCAGGAGAAATGGGGCTGGGGGGTGCAGGCAACCTGGAAGGCAAGATACTAGACAATATGTGGTAAGTGTGTAGGCACCCTTCAATAAAGGAAAGCATGAAAATGTATGAGGTATACACAAACATACCCACACACACCTGGTTAAAAGCAATATGTGTACCTTTCTTTAGCGCATATACACAACTGAAGGATACAAGGCCACATCCTATTCACACATAACCCATTAACCCAAAGCTTTCTGTGCATTCTCTGGAGAGTTTCAAAATATTAAGCAAACAGTTTTTAATGTGAAGAAAAAAATCCATAGTATATGCCTAGACAGTAATCATGTTTAATGCTTAATGCAAATGAAAGAAAATCCAATTTAGTTTTTACCCTGCCACTGCCTACCACATTTGGAGCGCAGGTCCCAGCATAGTACTTCAAAGCCAAGGAAAGTCATAGCACAGTAGTTGCACCCACTTTGTTTGGAAAATAAGTTACCTGCCCAGAATATTCAAAAAATGGGCAATACACAAGCACTGTTAATAAAACTAAGGGCAGGGCTTAAGGTAGGAAAGGTAGTTGGATACTGAGAGAGCAGTTGATGAGAGAGTGTGAATTCAGATATTAATAAAAAGTAGTCTGGATAACAGGCTAAGGATGAGCTGAAAATTCAAACACACCCAGCAGAAAAATTCAAATTAATCTGTCAATCAAGTCTCCTGCCTTTACTCTAGCCACATGTATATAAAGTACAAATGATGAAAATCATGAAAATGCAGATAACCTAAGAAGGCTGCACTGTAGCAGTAAAATGCTACCTGTGTGCATGGATACAGAAGAGAGAAGTGCACTTTGAACAAACACAATTTTTCTCTCTGATCAGCCCATCCAATTGATTATTCAGTTTACTTTTCCTCTCTGTTGTACTGCTAGTCAACATCTGACTGTGCCAAAACAGCATCATGACCTGCCAAGAGACAGCCTCCCCCCACCCCCACCAAATGCTTCAGAGCAGCAGCTTTCTCTCAAGAGACCCAGATGGTGCTATCTTAGCTGTTTTTAAAGTCCTGATTAACATCCTTTTCACCAAGGTTGTTACGATGTTATTACATCATGTGGAAATTTCCAGTCACATATCAAATCATCAAGACAAGGGCAGAACATTAATTAACAATCTCACATATGGAAGAGAGAAGCAGACTGAGGACAGGGGAAAGATGGAGGGAAGAGATACCCAATTGTTTACATTCTATCTACTAGGTCTCTAGCAGCACATGTCATGCAGTCATTGGCTAACTAGGTCAGGGACGCCTGACATTGGTGCCAAAGCGACTCAATGTCCTAGGAGAGCCAAATTAAATGCCTTTCCAGATCCTCTCTTATCCAAAATTGATCAACCACTACAACCCCTGTGGCTGCCTGCCTCTCTCTATGGTCCAAGCAAAAAAAAAAAAAATGCTTCCAAAGGATCATCCTCATCCTATGCAGGACAGGATAAAAGTAGAGCTCTTACTGTTGCCTACATATGGCTTCCTAGCTAGCCTGGAATGAGGAGCTGACTTTTGTTCAGCTCTTTTTATTACTCACATCTGCTAATGGGGTCTTTCTTACCATCTGGGAATGAAAGTTCAGGGTGGATGCAGAAATCCAACTGTGAGAGATGCTCCATCAAAGGGGCTTCATACTGGATTTCTGGAGGCAATGAGCTTCGAGGAGCACAGAAAGCACACAAAGGGTTCACATCACAGCCACACTGCCCCATGTTGTTACGATGAACCTAGACATAAGATGAAAAACGGAGAAGGGCTAAAATCCATTAATCTAGAAGAGGGCATCAATTTGCACTTTTTTTTCAATCTGAGGACCTAGTCGCCAATCACCTGCCATTTTCATTCTGCAGAGTTACTCCTGGTTTCACAACATGGGATATTAGGATGGCCAGAGACCAATGGTTTGCTTTGAGGTGCTCTTGACTGCCCAAAACATAAAGGGAAAGACATGTTTTATTGCCACTGCTTGGTAAGGAAGGAAACCTCAGAGTGGCATTGGTCAGCCAGGAAAGGATTGGGAGTGATTCAGGGAAATTTGAAGTTGACTTGATTGTTGAATCAATGTGATGGAGAGGAAGTATATGACTGGGGTTACTGGACTTGGTGAAACTATAACAAAGCATTTAAGGAGCCATCAAGATGATCTGATGGGAGTGGAAAGGGAATAGGATGGGTGAGAGACTGACTCTGTGAATCTGCCTAAGAATGACAACTACAGATGTAAAGAAGGGTTGATCTACAGGGTTGAGTTTTCTCTGATGTTTGGGCAAACTACTTGTACTTTAGCTTTTGCAGTTACCTCCCTCATTGCAGATTTCATCCAGGACTAGTAAACTACCATTTACATCCAATTTATTTATTTTATTTATTTATTTATTTTATTTATCAAATTTGTACCCCGCCCTTCTCCTAGCGGACTCAGGGCGGCTTACAGCCAGTTAAAACAGATAACAATACAAAATACTAAATTTAAAATGTAATTAAAATGAAATATTAATTATTGGCCGTTTCTTTTTAAAATTATTTTAAAACCAAATTAAAATACTCCTTAGGCCAGTCCTGCTA